GGACTTTTAAGCTTATTTTTTGTTACATTTTTTACTTTGATTGAGATTGTAAGATAGATAACTGAAATCTGACCTCATACTTTCTAATTATAGGAACACCCAAGGAGTTTCACATGAGACCTAAAACAATGGAAATCACCGTGATTTTTCAAATTATTCACCTGAAGCAGAGGCAGCCTAACAAAACAGCAGGAAGCCAGGCACTCCTGGCTGAGCCCACACAAAACCTAGGATCTCATGGAAGCTTCTGTATAGAAACAGCAGGGTCTAACCTCAAGTGGAAAGAAATCCCACAGAATAACCAGGGTTTCACCTCTTAGCTGTGTTTCTCCTTACTGTTATAGCGTGCTCCTGAATAGAATTGTCAGAGAGGGCTACTAAACTAGCCTACATGTAGTGTGTTCAAGTTTTACACATTTATTTATTTTGTGTGTGTAAATGTATGGTCACTGTTTCGCAATGGTCCACGTTGCGAAATCAGAAGACAACTGTGAAAGTCGTTTTTCTTGTTCTACTATGTGAGTATTGTGTTGGTTTGAATGTATCAATAATAATCCCAGAGTGCCCAAAATGTGTCATTTAACCAAGGGCAAGGGCAGATTTCCATTATTCCTGTGTCTTCTATCATTCCTATCTATCTGTTGTAGCAGACTGAATCTGTGCCTTCCTAAATGCTGTCTTGTGAATCTTTTTTCTCCAAGCTCCGTCTGTATGTCTCTAACACTGAGCTTTGTTCTCATTTATTGAACAGAACAAAAGATTCCACATGAGTAAGAAATAAAGGGTGCTGTACACAGTTTTACAAGAAATTAAGTCACCGATGCCAACTGACCACAAATGACCCAGAAAACAGGGTACTACAAAAATTGTGTATCAAATGATATCCATATGTTGTGTCCAACATTTATGGCAGTTGTTCACTTATTAAGGACATTTTTCCTATGAACTTTTTCACAGACACACACACATTGCTCTTTGGGTTTGGGTAGGGAAGAGCATATAATTTAAGATTTCAGCTATGTAAAACTTGTAAAAGTTGATTATATGGAAAATCTAAAGCAAGTAATATTGGTTGTTACATTGTTCTCTTAAAGGTAGGTTAAAGAACTTGAGTACACAGTACTCAGTAGGATGGCATTCTCAATTCTAAAGTGACCTCAAAGTATTTTATTAGCTTTGACTGTAAGATCCAGCAAAAGTTCTAGTCCCTTTGAATAGAAGAGATGATTTCCTAATAATGCATAGCCATGCGATCTAAATGAACAGCAGTATGGAGCTCAGGACCTCAGCTTCATTTCTTACTGAGCCATCTCACTGACCTTCAGATTGATTTATTTGCATGACACTGCCCTAATTCCATTGCTTCTCTCCCTGCTTAGGAATTGATTCTTTCATCTCTTATGTCCTGTGGATGATTAGGCCTAGGAGAGTAATATGAGAAATGTCTAAGAAACTTCCCACTCTCTGAACAAATAATGACTTCTTCTGAGTTAATTTTTGTCAAGTTTCGGCAACCTAATTCTTAGTTGCTGAAGTACAAGAATAAAGTTCTCTGTGGTCTTCTTCACGCTTAGTCCTGAAGAGACCTGCAATAGAATTGTCTGACGTATAGCTCAGAGCAGTGATAAGCCTTTTTCTTGCTATCTTCCCCATACTTGTTTTCTCCTATTTCCAATGTCCCCAGAAGCAAAGAAAGTCCTTATTGCTGGCTACTTCACTGAATCTCCATTACAGAAGGCTCTTATGAATATGTGATTTATGAAATAAATGTGGTTGCCTCACATTTTCTCTAAGAGACCAATCATCAACTTGTGCTAGGTTAAGGGGAAATAATTGTTCTTAACCATACCTATATCTCCATCTGAAGGTATAAAATTGCATACTTATGCTGAATTATAATACTAGCTATATATTTATTAAATCACACATTTCTTCTGATAGCTCAACACTGTCTAAGAAGTTGTCACATTTCACAGCTCTCCCATCTCGTATTGTCCTTACACAGTTACATTATTCTTTATGAATAAAGAGACTTGAGAAGAGCTTACATGACCACATTTACCATGTTCCATGTTCTATCTCTTTCTTTGTACTTTAGGGATAAATTTCTCTACTCTCACTTCAGTCTGGAACTCTTTATGTTCGAGTGTTGTGATCCTAACACCCAGAAGAATTCATTACTCTATCTGGTCTGGTCTTTAAAAAATGACTAGGTTATCAGTCTGAAATCTTCAAGTATGAGACATGTACCCCTTTAAAAGAGGCCCAGAAACCTCTCATGCACATTCCGCTTTGGGAAGTTAGAGAAAAACGCCAGCATCTGGGCACAGGATGCAGGTACTGGATGTGCTGGACCTATCTTAAGCTACTCAGCCCTAGGCACCATGAATAAGTCCTTGTGGTTTGTCTACTCTGCAGCTTTTGTTACTATATCCCAAATATACCAACACCCATCTTAACATTGCAAAGTACTCAAACTAAATGTATCACCTTCACAAGAAAATCAGGCTAGTAATTAATTCTCTCTTTCTTTTGTAAACAAATGTTGCTTCCTCAGAAGACCACTTCATCAAAACAAAAATATCCCAACCTTCCTTACTCTATTTACCACATGTCATTGGTGGTTCCTAAATGTCCGTCCTTTAAAAAACAAAACAAAACAAACAAACAAACAAACAAAAACGAAATGCATACCCCATTGCTCTAAAACTGCTTTTGTTGAGATCATATTGACATCCAAATTGTTTCATCCAATAATGAATGCCTGCTCTTCAGTTTTCTTGAGGTTTGAGCAACACGAGACAAAATTTGCTTTCTCTTCCCTGCCCTCTCCCTCTAGAATTTTGAGATAAGCATCATATATATATATATATATATATATATATATATGTATATATACAACCTTTAAGGCTGTTTTGAACTCCTAAGGCTATATCGAGGGCACTGAAGGGCAAAACTGGTTCACTGGCAATTTGTAAAATTACTTCTCCTGAGAGCTGAAATGAAAGAAAAAAAATAATTTCTAGTGTTCAGTAATTAATATAGTCATTTATTTATTTTTTGGTTATTCCATATGCTATTATGAATCCAGAGTAATAATAAAAGGAAGAAAAATTAACTTTAAAATATAAATATATATATATTTTAAAGTTAATTTTTCTTCCATATATATATATATATATATATATATATATATATATATATTCAGTGAAGTTTTAACTTAGTTAACATATCATTTTAGAAGGCCCTGTGGAATCCAAGGGCATTTATGAAAAACAGTTTCTAACATATTACTTCTCTTGGGAAAAAGATGGGACTTATGTTGAAAGGGGTCTTTGACTTCCTACCAAAATTAATTAATAATATCATTCTAACTATGACTAATAGGTCCTTTTAAGCCCCGAAGTACCCTATATTATGAAAATGTTACTTATAATAATAATGCACTGTACCTACTTGAAAACATTTTAAAATAAACTCAGATGTTTAAAAAAAATAAAAACCAAACAGCACTTAAAATTGTTTTGTTAGCACTTCTGTTTTTACTTGCTTAATTTCTTCAACCTTTTAAAAATGTAATTCTACTTTTCCTTCTTGCAGATACATTGATCATAGAAAAATATGACTCTGAAAGAACCTTGTTTATAATTCTGTTATACACTTCTGGTGTTTTCAAGTATACTACTTGAGATTCCTTTTCACGCATTGTAGTGACTTTACAGATGGACAAGGATTTGCATAATGTAAAGGCCTCATCTTTTGTCCTCTGAAGTTTAAAGTACTATCCACCATACCAACAGAATTTAATAAAAGACAAATTTGGATGCTAAGAAAAAGCAAAAGAACCTTAGAACAAACAAAAACAGATTTAAAACAAAATTCTTGGAGAAAATTATTATTCAGAAAACTATTGATTTTTCTGTACCTGCTTTATGCTTATTTTGTAAGAGGCTATATTTTGAAAGAGGTTACGCCCAGTTTCTAAGCCACAAGTAGTGTAGAAATAGTAAATATGAGCTGGTAACAGAGTGGCACCAGTAGCCTTAGCAACCTTGGAGTGACAGAGGCCTGTTGGAAGTATGGAAGAAGAACACTACATACATAGTAAACAAGTAGGTTACAAACAAAAGCTGCTGCCAACAATGTTGTTTGTTTCCATCCAATATAGTAACAAACAAAATAAACAAATAATAAATGAACAAACTTGGATAAGTCTCTAAAGAATAATAAGTTCTAATTTAAAACATACATTTAATTTCAAGTTATTGGAAATCTTTGCTCGGGAGCTCGATCTGTTGTCAGAGAATATTTTTAAGAACTGTACGTAAACTACTGTATTTCTTTTCAATTGCGTGGTTTCTATCACGGAGTCATTGACAATTTGATAGCAGGATGTGTCACTCAGAAAAAAGGATGCCAACTCTACTCACAGTATCCCCTTTGTGTTTAGTTAACTAAGACAAGCAAGAACTTAATTGAAAGGTGGGGTCTGAATGCTGCAGTTATGTTTATGTATGAGAGACTGAAAACAAGCTATGGAATTGAACCCCTTGTTGCTGCACTGCTGCCTTCGAACGTAGCCAGGAATGTAGACCTCACCCCATAGGAATCAGTCCCAAGGGAGAAACTTAGGAGTCTACCTTGTGCAGAATGAATGAGTTAGATACAGTCGTGGTGGAAAGTTGGATTCCTGAACTACTAACTCACAGTGAATCTGTAAATAGTAATGAGAACTGTGAATTGAGATTCACTTTTCTGTGATGGAAGCAGTCAGACCCGTCCAGCTCTGACACCTGCCTTCTGCCACACACATTTGCTTAACTTCTGTCTGCAAGGTGGCTGAACCATCTTTCAACTGTTCTCATTTTTCTCCTTAAAGGAACATAGACAGCGTGGCTAAAACTTTTAGGACACTCGATACTCTATCTAGTCCTTGTTGAAAGTATTTGAAAACATTTTCTACTTATTAAAATTACAACAATTAAAAGAAAAAAAATTACCTTTAAGGCTGTTTTGAACTCCTAAGGCTATATCGAGGGCACTGAAGGGCAAAACTGGTTCACTGGCAATTTGTAAAATTACTTCTCCTGAGAGCTGAAATGAAAGAAAAAAATAATTTCTAGCATTCAATAATTAATATAGTCATTTATTTTTTTTGGTTATTCCACATGCTATTATGAATCCAGACTAATAATAAAAGGAAGAAAAATTAACTTTAAAAAATATTTTTCTTTACCTTTCTCATGTCATGATAGTATAAGAACACAATGCTTCACTTTTTTTCTTTGAGCTAAAACATCAAGAAGTTGGTTTAAAATAATTATTTTTATTTAGAAATGGTCAAACATTATAGAAAAATAATTAATGCACCAACCTTTGGTAACTAAACTAAGAAAACAACAGACACAGTTAAACATCAATGTATTTCACTTAATGTACAATCCATCTGATAAGTTTTAATCCCTTAGGTATGTCTTTCTTAATGTTTAACTTTATTCCTAATCATTCTGAAATTTATCAAAACCAATGCTATTTATACACCTTATTTTGAATTAAAAAAATAAAATTTTAAATGTCTCCCCCAAGTTCATATTGGAATTTTCTTGCATGTATACATACCCTTCATGTTTTCAATCAATTTTGTTACATATGCTACAACTGAGTGATTGTGTGCTCGGTACACTCTGCTAGTACCCTCACACAACTATCACAGGACCCCCAGGACACCGGTAAATACCACTACTACATCTCCTTCACCCTCATATATGATACTAAATGTTTCCCAGGGCTGCTCAAACATCCCTATGTCTTTTAAGAGCCTGAATCCAAGCATGGAGGGAAACGAGACTTGTGTTGGCACTATAAAAGCACTGCAGATAGTGTGTAAAAAGTACACAAGAAAATCAGACTATTAACTTGAGTCAGTATAGAAACCATCAGAGATACAACATACCAGGTAAACCTGATTTTAGATAACCAGATCTATATATTCAAGAAGCATTGTATCCTTTATAATTTAAAAGCTGTATTTCCCTATTGTTCACACAGTTCATTTCATGGTAAGAATGCAATTCAATCTGGTCTGTCCAGGCTTGGAAAAATATGTTTCTGAGAAATAAAGGAGAAAGATTCTGTTATTTCTTTGAGGCATTTCACTCCCAAACATAGCAACGCATTTTCCCCCAGTGGCCAAGATATCTTTGTGGAGTTTGATCCCAGGCACATCTGTTTCAAAGCCCACGGGGAGCTGCCTGCCTGATCATACTGTGCTTTAGGAACAGAGGACTGCCCGCAGCAGCTTGATAGATGCCCCTTCTATTCCACCTACCCTGTCCACACCACACAGTGAACGAACACCAATATTTGGAAATAAGTTATTTTTTAAAAGAAAAATTTAAGGGATGTTAGGAAGTCTGAAGGTTCCTTTTTTTTTTTTTTCCAATTTACACTGGATAATGGAAACTACAGAACAGACATGTTTTGTTGATGCTCCTGGTATCTGCAAGGCACGCTTTACAAAAGATTCAAATGAAAGGGAGGAGAGGGAGGGGAGGGGTGAGTCTACACTGCCGGAGAACATGGTTTTGTTCTGTTTTTAAAAGAGTTCATTTGGCAGCACCAACAACAGAAATGCATGCCAGTTATCCCGCTACTTCTCTGGAAAAGAACCTGGCAACAGGAAGTGGGACTGTGAAGGCACCTGGGCCCATGACAAATGTGAAACCAGCTTCCTTTAGCAGTTTCACAGGCAAGAGGGAGAGTTGTGTGCCCTGTGCCATGTAATTGAACGTAAGCTATACTACAGTTACTTATAGTCCTGGACAGCTTTCCTCAAACAGAAGAACACAGATTTCCCTGATGCTCATGTGAGGCTCTTTTTCCTATTGTGCCTATCATACTTTGTTATAAGGCCACCCCTAAACACTGGCAGCTGGCCATTCTTATGACTGAAATATCCAACACTGAGAAAGCATTATTTAAAATAATGGTAAGAGCTAAAATACCAAAATTTATCAAAATTTTTCCAGAACTTCTGGAATCAGATGCTGCTCAGAAGTTTTTGAACCACATCATTCTTACCACAGCTCAGCAGAGCAGGTGCCACTATTTTTTGTGTCACAGATAATGAAACCAAATCCCAGAAGGTTTAGGTAGGTTTCTCACATCACGGTTCAGAGCTGGATTTGAAGTCAATGCTATTTTGTTGTTGTATCTTTCCAGATCCTCAACTCCTAGACAGTGTAATATCTAGAGCCCCACAAGCTATAGTCTGTCATTCAGTGCATGTGTGCATATAGGAAAATAAACCTACACCTCACCTAATAATGTGAAGGGGATAGTGGGAGGTAATTAGGTTATGTTGCTGAGGGTTTCCCCAATTAAAAAGATGCATCACTGAAAAGAAGATGTTGAAGCTCACTTATTCGTGGGTCTTCTCAGCAGAAGCTCACTGCCTGCCATGTTATCACCAAGAGTGGAGGCCTTCACCTGAAATGGGTCCCTTGCTATTCAATGCGGCAGCTTTCAAAGCCATGAGCTGAATAAACCTCTGCTGTTTTTAAGTTTCCCAGACTGTGGTAGTCTGTTAGCACAATAAAATATATTTAGACACTGTAGATGCCTAGAGCATCAGCAGAGCACAATGTGAGATTCAACAGAATAACTAGGCACAGTGATACTTGTCAGAGAGTGGGGTTCTCTTCCAAGAACCTGCACAGTGGTTCACAACCAACTGAAACTCTAGTTCCAGGGGATCTGAAACTAACCGTGCTCTCCTCTGCACTCATGTCATATACCCTCACCACCCCACCCAGGCACACACATATTCCCATAACTAAAAATAAAAACATAACTAAGTACATGTTCTAATCTGCTTCCATGACCACAAAAAGAGTCAGGTCATCTTACTTACTATGCAAACATGATGATCTCAACTGATTTCAGTTCCCAGATCCCAAGATGGAAACAGAGAAATGACTTCCAAGGGTTGGACTCTGTCCTCCACATGCATATCATAGCGCACAAGGTATACACACACACACACACACACACACACACACACACACACACACACACACACACCATCCCCCCCCACA